CGTCAGCGGGTGACCCACTGTACGGAGGCGGATACAGGTCGCCACCTGGCTACGTTTACACGTCGGCCGGGGTCGAGCCTGTACACACTGACCACTGCTTCTCCTCCAGGTACTGCGTCTGGTAGGGCCCCTTCGTCTGGTCAGGTGTTTGCTGCAGCGTCCAGGTCTGGTCCTGAGTCTGCCCCTTGTTCGTGTCGTCGTCTGTCTCACGAGACCCTCCTCTGGCACCACCGCCTTGGCCACCCCTCTCTACTTCGGCTCAGAGGCATGGCCTCGCGGGTCCTTGTGTCTGGTCTTCCCCGGTCTCTCCCTCCCCTTCCTCCGGGCCCTGGCCCTGCCTGTGTCCCCTGTGTCGAGGGGCGCCAGCGTGCTGCCTCTCACTCCTCCCAGTTTCCTCCGACAGAGGCCCCGTTGCAGACGCTTCACATGGACGTGTGGGGCCCAGCCCGCGTCCGTGGACAGGGTCAGGAGCGCTACTTCCTGCTAGTGGTTGACGACTACTCGCGTTACACCACAGTCTTCCCCTTGCGCAGCAAGGGTGAGGTCACTCAGGTGTTGATCGACTGGATCCGCGCAGCTCGTCTTCAGCTTCGGAGAAGCTTTGGCTCTGACTTCCCTGTCTTGCGTCTGCACTCGGACAGAGGCGGAGAGTTCTCCTCGGCCCTCCTGAGTGCCTACTGTCGTGTGCGAGGCATCCGTCAGACCTTCACGCTTCCGGACTCACCACAGCAGAATGGGATCGCTGAGCGCCGCATTGGCATGGTCATGGACGTCGCTCGTACGTCCATGATGCATGCGGCTGCTCCCCATTTTCTGTGGCCGTTTGCGGTCAGGTACGCTGCGCACCAGATCAACCTCCACCCCAGGGTCTCTCGACCGGAGACCTCCCCAGCTCTGTTGTGGACCGGGAAGGTTGGCGATGCGTCGGCGTTCCGGGTCTGGGGATCTCGGGCGTTTGTTCGCGACCTGTCTGCGGACAAGCTGTCCCCTCGTGCTTCTCCCTGCGTCTTCCTCGGGTTCCCCCCCGACGCCCCTGGGTGGCAGTTTTACCACCCCACCTCTCGACGTGTTCTGTCCTCCCAGGACGTCACGTTCGACGAGTCGGTACCCTACTACCGCCTCTTCCCCTACCGCACTCCGTCCCTCCCCCCACCCCCCCTCTTCTTGGTACCAGGTCCCCCCCCAGTAGTCCCCCTCCCCCCTCAGGGTCCTGCCCCTTCAGGTGTGTCTCAGGTAGACGCGGTCGAGCCTGTCGAGGTCACTGGTGACTCCGGTGCTGCTGCGGGAGCTGAGCCTGGGGGTGCGGAGTCTAGAGGTGCTGAGCCTGGGGGTGCGGAGCCTGGGGGTGCGGAGTCTGGGGGTGCTGGGCCTGGGGGTGCTGAGCCTGGGGGTGCTGAGCCTGGGGGTGCTGTGCCTGGGGGTGCTGTGTCTGGGGGTACTGAGCCTGGGGGTGCTGAGCCGGGAGGTGCCGAGCCTGGAGGTGCTGTGCCTGGGGGTGCTTCGTCTCACCGGGAGCCGCTCTCTCCACAGGAGCTGCGTGAGTGGTTTGCCCGGCGCTGGAGGCGTGCCGCTGGTGCTGGTGGTTCTTCGGCTGCGGAGGGCGCTGCTGCCACGCGACCTGGCGGTGCTCGTCCTGTGGGTGCTGGAGCTGCTGGGTCTGAGTGTTCTCCTGGAGCTGGTCCTGCTGAGGACGTTGGCGCTGAGCCTGCGGTTGGTGGTCCGACTGACGGTGCTCCTGGTGCTGCTGCTGGAGGTTCTGGAGCTTCTGGTGGTTCTGCTGGAGGTGCTGCTGGAGTGGGTGCTCCTGCCGTGGGTGCTGGTGCTGTTCCTGCTGTTTCTGGCGTCGCCGCGCGGCCTCGACCGTACTTCGTTCCGCTCCTGCAGCAGGTTCTTGGTCTTACACCTCCTCCTCCTCCCTTAGAGGGTCCGCAGCCTGTCCGGTCACAGCCACAGCTACAGCCTGCCTCCCCTTTGCCTGCTCCTTCTCCCTACGCTGGTCCGACTGGAGGTCTTACTGAGCGTCGTGAGCCTGCGTCTCGTCCTGCGTCGCCTGTTCGTACTGAGCGCGCTCGTGGTCGCGGGTCGCGTCAGCGTCCTCCTCCTGTCCCTGGCACGCACCGGATGTCACTGCGTCCGTCCACTGCTCCTCTGCGTGCCCCTTTGCCTTCTCCTCCTGCTTCCTCTCTTCCTGCTCTTGCCGACCCGGAGTCGGACTCTCTTCGTGCTGCCAGTCCTACTGTCACGCGTCTCCTTGCTACTGCTGTCACTGACCCTTCCTTCGAGTCGTCTGCTGCGTCTGCCCTTGTCACTGAGCTTGTCGACTTTGCTGCGCGCTGTCGTCTAGACTACGCTGCTCGTCTTGTCGCTGAGTCTGCGTCCGCCTGTCCTCCGTCCGTCGGGGGTGAGTGTGCCCTTGGCACGGACGTCCTAGAGGACAGGCAGGAGGAGTTCCAGTGTCTAGCCGCTGCTTCACCTCGTCTCGCGTCTGTACTGCTAGCCCCTGAGGGAGACCCGGATGCACTAGACATCCCGACTCCGCGTTCTTACGCGGAGGCCGTAGAGGGTCCCTACTCCTCTCAGTGGCAGGCAGCTATGGATGCAGAGATGGCTTCCTGGAAGTCCACAGGCACCTACGTTGACGCGGTTCCCCCTCCTGGGGCGAACATCGTCAGTGGCATGTGGATCTTCAGGGTGAAGCGGCCGCCGGGCTCGCCGCCTGTCTTCAAGGCGCGTTACGTGGCTCGTGGCTTCAGTCAGCGGCAGGGAGTTGACTACTTTCAGACCTTCTCTCCCACCCCGAAGATGACCACTCTTCGGGTGCTGCTGCACATTGCCGCTCAGCGCGACTACGAGCTTCACTCTCTCGACTTCAGCACTGCGTTCCTGCAGGGTAGCCTGCACGAGGAGATCTGGCTGCGCCGTCCGCCTGGCTTCACTGGGACTTTCCCTCCTGGCACCCAGTGGAGCCTCCGACGGCCAGTCTACGGTCTCCGCCAGGCACCGCGTGAGTGGCACGACACACTGAGGACTACGCTTGCGGCTCTTGGGTTTGCTCCTTCTACTGCTGACCCGTCGCTGTTTCTTCGCACCGACACTTCCCTGCCGCCGTTCTACATCCTCGTGTACGTCGACGACTTGGTCTTTGCCACAGCGGACACTGCTGGACTCGCCTACGTGAAGTCCGAGCTGCTGAAGAGACACACGTGCACAGACCTGGGTGAACTGCGCAGCTACCTTGGCTTGCAGATCACTCGGGACAGAGCACGCCGCACCATTACCTTGACTCAGTCACACATGGTGCAGCAGGTCCTTCAGCGCTTCGGCTTCACGTACTCCTCGCCTCAGGCCACTCCTCTGCCTACTCGCCACTCACTCTCAGCTCTGCCTTCGGATGAGTCCGTAGAGTCGAGTGGTCCGTATGCAGAGCTTGTTGGCTGCCTCATGTACCTGATGACCTGCACTCGACCTGACCTTGCATACCCTCTGAGCATCCTTGCACGCTATGTTGCTCCTGGGAGACACCGACCAGAGCACATGGCTGCAGCGAAGAGGGTATTGCGCTACCTGTGCAGTACGTCGGGCATGGGGCTAGTGCCTGGAGGGCGGAGTCCAGTGGTCCTTACTGGGCACGCAGACGCTTCTTGGGCTGACGACCAGGCTACGCAGCGGTCGTCACAGGGTTACACCTTCAGCCTTGGTTCCGGCTCTGTCTCGTGGCGGTCTACTCGCTCGTCTTCGGTTCTCGGCTCCAGTTGTGAGGCTGAGATCTACGCCGGGGCCATGGCTGCACAGGAGCTTCGCTGGCTCACCTACTTGCTGACTGACCTAGGAGAGCTGCCTCGTTCTCCTCCAGTGCTGTACGTAGACAACAAGGCCATGTTGGCCTTGTGTCGAGAGCAGCGCTTGGAGCACAGAACGAAGCACATTGCTCTCCGCTACTTCCTTGCTCGTGAGCTGCAGCAGCGTGGTCAGTTGCGACTTGCTTACGTGGCCTCTGAGGCCAACACTGCTGATGTGTTCACCAAGGCACTTGCGCCTTGCGACCATCAGCGCTTTTGTACCCAGCTGGGTCTTGTACCTGTCTTGCCTCACTTGCTCTCTTCTTGACTTTACTTGTACTTTGACATATATATACCTGCTCTTGCTTGTCTAGTTTTATATATATGTCTTTACTCCTGCATGTGAACTGGCCTCTGGCCTTGCTCTTGTGCTCGGACTGTGTGGTGACTTTGTGATCCACCCTGAGCTTGTTTTGCTTTGCTTGACTGGTCTTGTGACCCCTTGTTCTCCCCCACTTTGCCTATGGGGGTGTGTCAGATTGTTATAGCTGATGCATGTTTGTAGGCTATAGTGGGGTAGCACATATGGGGTACAGTTTGATAGGGTTTAGGGTTTAGGGTACTCTGTAGGTACTCTGTAATGAGTACAACCCAATTTAGGGCAATGTACTTGTATCCCAACTCTTGCTAGTCACTTTCACTCCCCTTCCAATTTCTCGACTCTCACCTAACCCACTCGAACTTACCTATCTCCTAGTGTGGGCCTAGGCTACTAAGCCTAGGCCCCACACCTAATATTTTCACATGTTATCAGAGCCCGTTCTACCTTGGCGTGTGGGCCCCTATGCTTCCGCTGCAGTCCTTCTTCCTGCCGTCCGCTCGGGGTTTTTTAGGATTTCGGAGTTTTTCATCCCGCCGTGCGCTCGGGGCGCACGGCGGTTTTCCCATCCTTCGAAGCGCCCTCGGGGGGCCTGCGCGCTGCCCTCCCCGCTGCTCGTCGCGACGCCCGTGTGGGACCCGCGCGGCGTCACCCTGCTCGTCGCGACGTCCGTGCGGGACCCGCGGGGCGTCGCCCCTGCTCGTCGCGACGTCCGTGCGGGACCCGCGCGGCGCCGCCCTACTGTCGCGAGGTCCGTGCGGGACCTGCGGGGCGTCGCCCCTGCTCGTCGCGACGTCCGTGCGGGACCCGCGGGGCGTCGCCCCTGCTCGTCGCGACGCCCCATGCGGGACCCGCGGGGCGCCGTCAGTTCCTGCAGCAGCAGCCGCCGCCGCCCTGCAGCAGCAGCCGCCGCCAGGCCTACAGCAGCAGCCGTCGCCAGGGTCTGCAGCAGCAGCCGCCGCCAGAGCCTGCAGCAGCAGCCGCCGCCAGAGTCTGCAGCAGCAGCCGCCGCCAAAGTCTACAGCAGCAGCCGCCGCCAGAGTCAGCAGCAGCAGCCGCCGCCAGACCTGCAGCAGCTGCCGCCACCGACCCAGCAGCAGCAGCCGCCGCTCTATCAGCAGCAGCAGCCGCCGCCGCTCTGCCGCAGCAGCTACCGCCGCCCAGCTGCAGGTGCCGCCCCTGGACCCTAGAAGCCGCCCCTGGACCCGGTACGCCTTGTGCTGCCCGTGCCTGTGCTGCCCGTGCCTGTGCTGCCCGTGCCCGTGCTGCCCGTGCCTGTTGCTGCCCGTGCCTGTGCTGCCTGTGCCTGTTGCTGCCCGTGCCTGTTGCTGCCCGTGCCTGTGCTGCCCGTGCCTGTGCTGCCCGTGCCTGTGCTGCCCGTGCCTGTGCTGCCCGTGCCTGTGCTGCCCGTGCCTGTTGCTGCCCGTGCCTGTGCTGCCCGTGCCTGTTGCTGCCCGTGCCTGTGCTGCCCGTGCCTGTGCTGCCCGTGCCTGTGCTGCCCGTGCCTGTGCTGCCCGTGCCTGTGCTGCCCGTGCCTGTGCTGCCCGTGCCTGTGCTGCCCGTGCCTGTTGCTGCCCGTGCCTGTGCTGCCCGTGCCTGTGCTGCCCGTGCCCGTGCTGCCCGTGCCCGTGCTGCCCGTGCCTGTTGCTGCCCGTGCCTGTGCTGCCTGTGCCTGTTGCTGCCCGTGCCTGTTGCTGCCCGTGCCTGTGCTGCCCGTGCCTGTGCTGCCCGTGCCTGTGCTGCCCGTGCCTGTGCTGCCCGTGCCTGTGCTGCCCGTGCCTGTTGCTGCCCGTGCCTGTGCTGCCCGTGCCTGTTGCTGCCCGTGCCTGTGCTGCCCGTGCCTGTGCTGCCCGTGCCTGTGCTGCCCGTGCCTGTGCTGCCCGTGCCTGTGCTGCCCGTGCCTGTGCTGCCCGTGCCTGTTGCTGCCCGTGCCTGTGCTGCCCGTGCCTGTGCTGCCCGTGCCTGTGCTGCCCGTGCCTGTGCTGCCTGTGCCTGTTGCTGCCCGTGCCTGTGCTGCCCGTGCCTGTGCTGCCCGTGCCTGTGCTGCCCGTGCCTGTTGCTGCCCGTGCCTGTGCTGCCCGTGCCTGTGCTGCCCGTGCCTGTGCTGCCTGTGCCTGTTGCTGCCCGTGCCTGTGCTGCCCGTGCCTGTGCTGCCCGTGCCTGTGCTGCCCGTGCCTGTGCTGCCTGTGCCTGTTGCTGCCCGTGCCTGTGCTGCCCGTGCCTGTGCTGCCCGTGCCTGTTGCTGCCCGTGCCTGTGCTGCCCGTGCCTGTTGCTGCCCGTGCCTGTGCTGCCCGTGCCTGTGCTGCCCGTGCCTGTGCTGCCCGTGCCTGTGCTGCCCGTGCCTGTGCTGCCCGTGCCTGTGCTGCCCGTGCCTGTTGCTGCCCGTGCCTGTGCTGCCCGTGCCTGTGCTGCCCGTGCCTGTGCTGCCCGTGCCTGTGCTGCCTGTGCCTGTTGCTGCCCGTGCCTGTGCTGCCCGTGCCTGTGCTGCCCGTGCCTGTGCTGCCCGTGCCTGTTGCTGCCCGTGCCTGTGCTGCCCGTGCCTGTGCTGCCCGTGCCTGTGCTGCCTGTGCCTGTTGCTGCCCGTGCCTGTGCTGCCCGTGCCTGTGCTGCCCGTGCCTGTGCTGCCCGTGCCTGTGCTGCCTGTGCCTGTTGCTGCCCGTGCCTGTGCTGCCCGTGCCTGTGCTGCCCGTGCCTGTGCTGCCCGTGCCTGTTGCTGCCCGTGTCTCGTGCTCGCGCCCCCGTGCGCTCTGCTACTGTCTGCACCCTCGTGCGCACTGTCCCCCCCCCCCCCCCCCCTGTTTGCGGGTGTGGGGGTGCTCCGTTTGTGTCTCCCCTTCCTTCTCCTCCTCCGTCGTCTCCCACTGCTGCAGCTGTCGCTGAGGGGGGTGGTTGTGTGGGAGACTGGGGTTTAGGGTTTAAGGGGGGTGCGTGGGAGTGGAGCTAGGGGTGTAGCAGCGGGTGTGTGTCAGGGGGGTGGGACTGTTTGTGGGAGGTTGAGCGGAGGCTGCCGTCTTGTAGTCCGCAGCACCTGTAGTCCGGGGCGCTGTCCTTGTAGCCCAGTGAGCCTGCTGCGCCTGTCGCCCGTGGGTCCGTTGCTCCTGCCGCTCTTCGTAGCCGCCGAGCCAGTTACTCCAGTAGTCCGGGGCGCTGTCCCGATAGCCACTGTGCCAGCCGCTCCTGTTGCCCGTGTGTCTGCAGCTTCAGCAGTCGCCTCCCATCTCCTCTCCTCTCACTCTCCCTCCTCCTCCTCACCAGCCCGTTGAGACCACCACTAGCTTTGCTGATAATTGTGCACTTTAACTATTGCTTCTTGAACTTGTGCTCAGAATGTGTGGTGACATTGTGATCCACCCTGAGCTTGTACTGCTTTGCCTGCTCTGCTGATTTCACCCCACTTTGGCTATGGGGGTGTGTCAGAATATATTTGCTGTCTAGCCTGCAGTGGGGTACTCTGTAATAAGTACAACCCAATTTAGGGCAATGTACTTGTATCCCAACTCTTGCTAGTCACTTTCACTCCCCTTCCAATTTCTCGACTCTCACCTAACCCACTCGAACTTACCTATCTCCTAGTGTGGGCCTAGGCTACTAAGCCTAGGCCCCACACCTAATATTTTCACACAAATGCCACGGAGAACGGAAGCGCTCAGATCTCGCATAGTACACGGAATCAAGTGGTCTCACTCAAATAGAAAGTAGGAAATATATTCATCTACTGAACGTAAGGGTTTGAAAGGTAACTAACGCACATATGTAGAGAAAATTGTGCATTGGCCACTCTGGCTGGCATTTCGCACTTATAGTGCAACTAGGGCTAAGGAGAACGGAAACGCTCATTTCTCAAAAAGTAGAGGGAATCTAGCGTTCTCACTCGATCAAAAGGTGGGAAATATATAAATCTAGTGAGCTAATAAGGTTCGAAAGGAATCTAATGCATATGTATATGGAAAAGGGTGCATTGGCTGACAAGAAGTGAACAAGAGAATGAGTGAACTATGAACGAAGTGAGTACAAATAGGAAACCCTAACTGGGTTGTACCCCCTATGGGATACCCCACTATAGCCTACATAAATGAGTAAGCTATAATGTTCTGACACACCCCCATAGGCAAAGTGGGGGAGAACAAGCGGTCACAAGACCAGTCAAGCAAAGCAAAGCAAAGCTCAGGGTGGATCACAAAGTCACCACACATTCCGAGCACAAGTTCAAAAGGCCAGAAGGCCAGTTCACATGCAAGATCATATATAAAGATATACAAGAGTCAAGCAAGTAAGAGCAAGAGTATATATAGGTGAAGGTACAAGCAAGGTCAAGAAGTGAGCAAGTGAGGCAAGACAGACACAAGACCCAACTGCGTGCAACAACGCTGATGATCACAAGGCGCAAGTGCCTTAGTGAAGACATCAGCAGTGTTGGCCTCAGAGGCCACGTACGCAAGTCGCAACTGTCCACGCTGCTGTAGCTCACGAGCAAGAAAGTAGCGGAGGGCAATGTGCTTCGTTCTGTGCTCCAGTCGCTGCTCTCGACACAAGGCCAGCATGGCCTTGTTGTCTACGTACAGGACTGGAGGAGAACGAGGCTGCTCTCCAAGGTCAGTCAGCAGGTAGGTGAGCCAGCGTAACTCCTGTGCAGCCATAGCCCCAGCGTAGATCTCAGCCTCACAACTGGAGCCCAGAACAGAAGACGAGCGAGTAGCCCGCCACGAAACAGAGCCGGAACCAAGGCTGAAGGTGTAACCCTGTGACGACCGCTGCGTAGCCTGGTCGTCAGCCCAGGAAGCGTCTGCGTGCCCAGTGAGGACCACTGGACTGCGCCCTCCAAGCACTAGCCCCATGCCCGACGTACTGCACAAGTAACGCAACACCCTCTTCGCTGCAGCCATGTGCTCTGGTCGGTGTCTCCCAGGAGCAACATAGCGTGCGAGAATGCTAAGAGGGTATGCAAGGTCAGGACGTGTGCAGGTCATCAGGTACATGAGGCAGCCAACAAGCTCTGCAAACGGGCCACTCGACTCTACGGACTCATCCGAAGGCAGAGCTGAGAGTGAGTGGCGAGTAGGCAGAGGAGTGGCCTGAGGCGAGGAGTACGTGAAGCCGAAGCGCTGAAGGACCTGCTGCACCATGTGTGACTGAGTCAAGGTAATGGTGCGGCGCGCTCTGTCACGGGTGATCTGCAAGCCAAGGTAGCTACGCAGTTCACCCAGGTCAGTGCACGTATGTCTCCTCTACAGCTCGGACTTCACGTAGGCGAGTCCAGCAGTGTCAGCTGTGGCAAAGACCAAGTCGTCGACGTACACGAGGATGTAGAACGGCGGCAGAGAGGTGTCGGTGCGCAGAAACAGCGACGGGTCGGCAGTAGACGGAGCAAACCCAAGTGCCGCGAGCGTAGTCCTCAGTGTGTCGTGCCACTCACGTGGCGCCTGGCGGAGACCGTAGACTGGACGCCGGAGACTCCACTGGGTACCAGGAGGGAAAGACCCAGTGAAGCCAGATGGGCGGCGCAGCCAGATCTCCTCGTGCAGACTGCCTTGCAAGAAAGCTGTGCTGAAGTCGAGAGAGTGCAGCTCGTAGTCACGGTGAGCAGCAACGTGCAGCAGAACCTGAAGAGTGGTCATCTTTGGGGTGGGGGAGAAGGTCTGAAAGTAGTCAACCCCCTGCCGCTGACTGAAGCCACGAGCCACGTAACGCGCCTTGAAGACAGGCGGAGAACCCGGCGGCCGCTTCACCCTGAAAATCCACATGCCACTGACGATGTTCGCCCCAGGAGGGGGAACCGCGTCGACGTAGGTGCCTGTGGACTTCCAGGAAGCCATCTCTGCATCCATAGCTGCCTGCCACTGAGAGGAGTAGGGACCCTCTATCGCCTCCGCGTAAGAGCGCGGAGTCGGGATGTCTGGTGCATCCGGGTCTCCCTCAAGGGCTAGCAGTACAGACGCGAGATGGGGTGAAGCGGCGGCCAGACACTGGAACTCCTCCTGCCTGTCCTCAAGGACGTCCGTGCCAAGGGCACACTCACCCCCGACGGACGGAGGACAGGCAGACTCAGACTCAGCGACAAGACTGGCAGCGTAGTCTAGACGACAGCGCGCAGCAAAGTCGACAAGCTCAGTGACAAGGGCAGACGCAGCAGACGACTCGAAGGAAGGGTCAGTGACAGCAGTAGCAAGGAGACGCGTGACAGTAGGACTGGCAGCACGAAGAGAGTCCGACTCCGGGTCGGCAAGAGCAGGAAGAGAGGAAGCAGGAGGAGAAGGTAAAGGGGCACGCAGAGGAGCAGTGGACGGACGCAGTGACATCCGGTGCGTGCCAGGGACAGGAGGAGGACGCTGACGCGACCCGCGACCACTAGCGCGCTCAGTACGAACAGGCGACGCAGGACGAGACGCAGGCTCACGACGCTCAGTAAGACCTCCAGTCGGACTAGCGTAGGGAGAAGGAGCAGGCAAAGGGGAGGCAGGCTGTAGCTGTGGCTGTGACCGGACAGGCTGCGGACCCTCTAAGGGAGGAGGAGGAGGTGGAAGACCAAGAACCTGCTGCAGGAGCGGAACGATGTACGGTCGGGGCCGCGCGGCGACGCCAGAAACAGCAGGAACAGCACCAGCACCCCCGGCAGGAGCACCCACTCCAGTAGCACCTCCAGCAGCACCACCAGAAGCTCCAGAACCTCCAGCAGCAGCACCAGGAGTACTGTCAGTCGGACCGCCAGCGGCAGGCTCAGCGCCAACCCCCTCAGCAGCACCAGCTCCAGGAGAACTCGCAGACCCAGCAGCTCCAGCACCCACAGGACGAGCACCGCTGGGACGCGCGGCAGCAGTGCCCTCTGCAGCCGAAGAACCACCAGCACTAGCAGCACGCCTCCAGCGCCTGGCAAACCACTCACGCAGCTCCTGTGGGGAGAGTGGCTCCCGGCGAGACGAGGCACCCCCAGGCTCAGCACCCCCAGGCTCAGCACCCCTAGGCACAGCACTCCCAGGCACAGCACCCCCAGGCTCGGCACCCCCAGGCTCAGCACCCCCAGGCACAGCACCCCCAGGCTCAGCACCTCCAGGCTCAGCACCCCCAGGCTCAGCACCCCCAGGCTCAGCACCCCCAGACTCCGCACCCCCAGGCTCAGCACCCCCAGACTCCGCACCCCCAGGCTCAGCACCCCCAGACTCCGCACCCCCAGGCTCAGCTCCCGCAGCAGCACCAGAGTCACCAGTGACCTCGACAGGCTTGACCGCGTCTACCTAGGACACACCTGAAGGGGCAGGACCCTGAGGGGGGAGGGGGACTACCGGGGGGGGACCTGGTACCAAGAAGAGCGGGGGTGGGGGGAGGGACGGAGTGCGGTAGGGGAAGAGGCGGTAGTAGGGTACCGACTCGTCGAACGTGACGTCCTGGGAGGACAGAACACGTCGAGAGGAGGGGTGGTAGAATTGCCACCCAGGGGCGTCAGGGGGGAACCCTAGGAAGACGCAGGGAGCAGCGCGAGGGGACAGCTTGTCCGCAGACAAGTCTCGGACAAACGCCCGAGATCCCCAGACCCGGAACGCCGACGCATCGCCAACCTTCCCCGTCCACAGCAGGGCTGGGGAGGTCTCCGGCCTGGAGACCCTTGGGTGGAGGTTGATCTGATGCGCTGCGTACCTGACCGCAAACGGCCACAGAAAATGGGGGGCAGCCGCATGCATCATGGACGTACGGGCGACGTCCATGACCATACCAATGCGGCGCTCAGCAATCCCATTTTGCTGTGGGGAGTCCGGAAGCGTGAAGGACTGGCGAATGCCTCGCGCTCGACAGTAGGCACGTAGAAGGCCAGAGGAGAACTCTCCGCCTCTGTCAGAGTGCAGACGCAATACAGGAAAGTCGGAGCCAAAGCTCTGCCTGAGCTGAAGACGAGCTGCGCGGATCCAGTCGATCAGCACCTCAGTAACCTCACCCTTGCTGCGCAAGGGGAAGACTGTGGTGTAACGCGAGTAGTCGTCAACAACCAACAGGAAGTAGCTCTCCTGACCCTGTCCACAGACGCGGGCTGGGCCCCACACGTCCATGTGAAGTGTCTGCAGCGGGGCCTCTGTCGGAGGAAACTGGGAGGAGTGAGGGGCAGCACGCTGGCGCCCCTCGACACAGGGGACACAGGCAGGGCCGGGGCCCTGAGGAAGGGGAGGTAGAGACCGGGGGAGACCAGACACAAGAAGACGGGAGGCCATGCCTCTGAGCCAAAGCAGAGAGGGGTGGCCAAGGCGGTGGTGCCAGAGGAGGGTCTCGTGAGACAGACGACGACACGAACAGGGGGAAGACACAGGACCAGACCTGGACGCTGCGGCAAACACCTGACCAGACGAAGGGACCCTACCAGACTCAGTACCTGGAGGAGAAGAAGTGGTCAGTGTGTACACGCTCGAACCTGGCCGACGTGTAAACGTTGCCAGGTGGCGTCCCGTGCTAGCCTCCGTGCAGTGGGTCACCCGCAGACGAGCAGGAGTGAACTGGTGGACACCCGCATCCTGTAGGTCAGCACCACTCACCAGGTTCGTCGAGAACGAGGGGAGGTAGAGACCCGACAGGGTGCCAGAGGGGGCCGCCGGACACGGAAGTACCGTGGAGAAGCGAGACAAGACAGGCCCCCCAGAGGGGTCAGCCAGGGACACCGCAACCGGCCGACTCAGCGGCGTGAGAGTAGTGCGGTCCCGAAAGAAGGAGCGAGACGCTCCAGAGTCAAGTGTGAAGGTGTGAGAGGCCGAAGTCGACACAGTACCTGAGAGGGCAGACTCACCAGTACCTGAGAGCACTGACGCACTGGCACCTAGAGCAGCAGCCTCACTAGTACCTGACGCAGCAGTACCAATGCCCGGGTCGGGCGGGAAACACCGGTAACAGTCATCCTCATCACTACCAGTCACAACATACATAGCAGAAAGAATAGCATCAAAGTCAAGATCATAAATGGCTACACCAGCCCTAGACAGCTCCCCCCAGCGGGGGATCTCAGCGGCCTCCGGAAACTGCTGACGCCAGGCGTCGATCAGGCGGCCAGAGCAGCGGCGGGCTGTGTGGATGCCTCCACACCTCTCCCCCGCACGGTCGCCGGTGCGAAGAACGTAGGGGCAGGGACCAAACGCACCACCACGCTGACGCTGCAAGTACCACTCACGGAGCTGCTGAGGGGCGGGGACGGTGCGAGAGCGCTGCTGCTGCTGCTGCTGGCGCTGACCACCCCCAGAGCTGCTCCGCTGGGACGAGCCACTCCGACCCCCGCCGCCACCGCCACTCCCGCCTCCACCACCGCCCCCGTCTCTACCGCCACCGCCCCCACTGGTACCCTCGCCCCCGCCTCCTCCGCTACCGCCTCCGCCGCCACCTCCGCCTCCACCGCCTCCACCAGTACCTCCACTCCCGCCACCACCTCCACCGCCACCCCCACTCCCCCTGCCACCCCCACCTCCTCCGCCACTGCCTCCTCTAGCTCCACCCGCTCCCTTGCCCCCCTTGCCCTTGCCAGAGCGGCGTCTACCGCTGGGGGCAGACGCCGCACCGACCGACTCAAAACCAGCGAGGTTGGCCGCAACGGCAGAGGCGATAGAGGGCAGCAGGGGGGAAGGAGAACACCCCTCAAAGATGGGGGTGCGAGGGTCACCCCGAGAGGCCCCTACAGCGACTATGCTCTTCTCAGCCGCTAGCAGGGACTCCTCAAGGAGGTCGACAGTGAGGGTGGTGGGACAGACAGAGAGAAACTGGTCCCTAACGACACGAAGGGACTCAGGGAGACGGGTGACAAGAAAGTAGAGAGTGATGTACATGGGAGGAGGGTTGGCGGCGCGGAACTCAGCAGGAAGGGCAGCGCGGTAGCGAGCGTCACTAGCGCGGAGGTGGGTAATGAGGTCAGCGATAGTGGGAAAGGCACCGAGGTCAGGGAAGAGAAAAGGTAGCATGAGGCGGCTCAGCGTAGCGGAGGAAGGGGAGGATTAGCGTGCAACTACAGCGTCGTACAAGGCGTGAGCGGTCTTGCACTGACTAAAGTGGGCACGCTCGGAGGAAGGGAGGTGGCGACGCACAGCAAGACGTGCAGCAGCATCGCGGGTCGCCCACTTGGAGCGAACGGCGGAATCAGCATCAGTAGGAGGGGCAGGGACAGCGCCAGAGACAAAGTCAAAGAGAGAGACCTCATCGACCGCATCACACAGTAAGTACAGCTGCAGGTCTTCAATCCAGACTGCAAAGTCAATGGCTCTACCCTCAGCGTCAAAAGCTAGGACATTGGGGGTGGCCATGACAGCAGCTGACAGTCTCACCGGGCAGGAAGAGTCGGGTAGGTCAGCGGCGCAGGTACACAGCCCAGGAGCAGTAGTAGCCCGACAAGAGCAGGAGTGCAGCTCCTCTGGCGGCTCGGGTAGCTCGAGCGGCTCGGGCAGCACAGGCGGCTCGGGCGGCTCGGGCGGCTCGGGCGGCTCGGGCGGCTCGGATGGCTAGGGCGGCGCGGGCGGCCTGGGCGGCTTGGGCGGCTCAGGCGGCTCGGGCGGCGGCACGGGCGGCTGGGGCGGCTCGGTGGCGGCTCACGGGCGACGGCAGCGGCAGCGGCGTCGGCGGCTCACGGGCGGCGTCGGCGGCGTCGGCGGCTCACGGGTGGCGTTGGCGGCGTCGGCGGCTCACGGGCGGCGTCGGCGGCGTCCGCTGCTCACGGGCGGCGTCGGCAGCTCACGGGTGGGCTGAAGGCCCACGGGTGGGCGGTTCGCGGGCAGCGCCGGCTCACGGGCGGGCGGCGTGACGGGCGGGCGACGGGACGGGCGGCGGCGTCACGGGGGGGGGGGGGGGGGGGGGGGGGGGGGGGGGGGGGGGCGACGTGACGGGCGGCGGCGTCACGGGCGGCGGCGTCACGGGCGGCGGTTCACGGGCGGCTGCGTCACGGGCGGCGCTCACGGGCGGCGGTGCACGGGCGGCGCTAAAGGGTGGCGCGACGGGCGGCGGCTCACGGGCGGCGCTACGGGCGGCGGCTCACGGGCGTAGCTACGGGCGGCCGCACGGGCGGCGCTAACGGGCGGCCACACGGGCGGCGCTACTGGCTGCGCAAAGGGCGGCGCGAACGGGCAGCCGCACGGGCGGCGCTAACGGGCGGCGCTAACGGGCGGCTCGAAAGGGCGGGCGCTAGGGCGGGCGCTAGGGCGGGCGCTAGGGCGGGCGCCAGGGCAGAAAAAAAGTTCTAGGTGGTGGGCCCGAAGCACAGTTCCCACAGGGGAACCTGCTCTGATTCCATGAAAAGAAGTGAACAAGAGAATGAGTAAACTATGAACGAAGTGAGTACAAATAGGAAACCCTAACTGGGTTGTACCCCCTATGGGATACCCCACTATAGCCTACATAAATGAGTAAGCTATAATGTTCTGACATTGGCCAGGTCGGTCAGTATGGGAACTTAGAGTGCAAATGCCAGGGAGAATAGAAGCGCTCAGATCTCGCATAGTACACGGAATCTAGTGGTCTCACTCAAATAGAAGGTAGGGAATAAATTCATCTAGTGAACGTAAGGGTTTGAAAGGTAACTAACGCACATGTGTAGAGAAAATGGTGCATCGGCCAGTCTGGCCGGCATTTCGCACTCGTAATGCAGGTGGGGCCAGGGAGAACGGAAACGCTCGTTTCTCAAAAAGTAGAGGGAATCTAACGGTCTCACTCGATCAGAAGGTGGGAAATATATAAATCTAGTCAGCTAAAAAGGTTTGAAATGTATTCAACGCAAATGTTTAGAGAAAATGGTGCATTGGCCAGGTCGGTCAGTATCGGAACTTAGAGTGCAAATGCCAGGGAGAACGGAAGCGCTCTGATCTCGCATAGTACATGGAATCTAGTGGTCTCACTCAAATAGAAGGTAGGAAATAAATTCATCTAGTGAACGTAAGGGTTTGAAAGGTAACTAACGCACATGTGTAGAGAAAATTGTGCATCGGCCAGTCTGGCCGGCATTTTGCAATTATAGTGCAACTAGGGCCAAGGAGAACGGAAACGCTCATTTCTCAAAAAGTAGAGGGAATCTAGCGGTCCCACTCGATCTGAAGGTGGGAAATATATAAATCTAGTGAGCTAATAAGGTTTAAAAGGAATCTAATGCATATGTATATGGAAAATGGTGCATTGGCCAGGTCGGTCAGTATGGGAACTTAGAGTGCAAATGCCAGGGAGAACGGAAGCGCTCAGATCTCGCATAGTACATGGAATCTAGTGGTCTCACTCAAATAGAGGGTAGGAAATAAATTCATCTAGTGAACGTAAGGGTTTGAAAGGTAACTAACGCACATGTGTAGAGAAAATGGTGCATCGGCCAGTCTATCCGGCATTTCGCACTTATAGTGCAAGTAGGGCCAAGGAGAACGGAAACGCTCATTTCTCAAAAAGTAAAGGGAATCTAGCAGTCTCACTCGATCACAAGGTGGGAAATATATAAATCTAGTTAGCTAAAAAGTTTTGAAATGTATTCAACGCACATGTATAGAGAAAATGGTGCATTGGCCAGGTCGGTCAGTATCGGAACTTAAAATGCAAATGCCAGGGAGAACGGAAGCGCTCAGATTTCGCATAGTACACGAAATCAAGTGGTCTCACTCAAATAGAAAGTAGGAAATATAATCATCTAGTGAACGTAAGGGTTTGAAAGGTAACTAACGCACATGTGTAGACAAAATTGTGCATCGGCCAGACTGGCCGGCATTTCGCACTTATAGTGCAAGTAGGGCCAAGGAGAACGGAAACGCTCATTTCTCAAAAAGTAGAGGGAATCTAGTGGTCTCACTCGATCAGAAGGTGGGAAACATATAAATCTAGTGAGCTAATAAGGTTTGAAAGGAATCTAATGCATATGTATATGGAAAATGGTGCATTGGCCAGGTCGGTCAGTATGGGAACTTAGTGTGCAAATGCCAGGGAAAACGGAAGCGGTCAGATCTTGCATAGTACACGGAATCTAGTGGTCTCACTCAAATAGAAGGTAGGAAATAAATTCATCTAGTGAACGTAAGGGTTTGAAAGGTAACTAACGCACATGTGTAGAGAAAATGGTGCATCGGCCAGTCTGGCCGGCATTTCGCACTTATTGTGCAAGTAGGGCCAAGGAGAACAAAAACGCTCATTTCTCAAAAAGTAAAGGGAATCTAGCGGCCTCACTCGATCAGAAGGTGGGAAATATATAAATCTAGTGAGCTTATAAGGTTCGAAAGGAATCTAATGCATATGTATATGGAAAATGGTGCATTGGCCAGGTCGGTCAGTATGGGAACTTAGAGTGCAAATGCCAGGGAGAACGGAAGCGCTCAGATCTCGCATAGTACACGGAATCTAGTGGTCTCACTCAAATAGAAGGTAGGAAATAAATTCATCTAGTGAACGTAAGGGTTTGAAAGGTAACTAACGCACATGTGTAGAGAAAATTGTGCATCGGCGAGTCTGGCCGGCATTTTGCACTTATTGTGCAACTAGGGCCAAGGAGAACGGAAACGCTCATTTCTCAAAAAGTAGAGGGAATCTAGCGGTCTCACTCGATCAGAAGGTGGGAAATATATAAATCTAGTGAGCTAATAAGGTTCGGAAGGAATCTAATGCATATGTATATAGAAAATGGTGCATTGGCCAGGTCGGTCAGTATCGGAACTTAAAATTCAAATGCCAGGGAGAACGGAAGTGCTCAGATCTCGCATAGTACACGGAATCAAGTGGTCTCACTCAAATAGAAAGAAGGAAATATATTGATCTAGTGAACGTAAGGGTTTGAAAGGTAACTAACGCACATATGTAGAGAAAATGCTGCATCGGCCAGTCTGGCCGGCATTTCGCACTCTTAGTGCTGGTGGGGCCAGGGAGAACGGAAACGCTTGTTTCTCAAAAATTAGAGGAATCTAACGGTCTCACTCGATTAGAAGGTGGGAAATATATAAATCTAGTCAGCTAAAAAGGTTTGAAATGTATTCAACGCACATGTATAGAGAAAATGGTGCATTGGCCAGGTCGGTCAGTATCGGAACTTAAAATCAAATGCCAGGGAGAACGGAAGCGCTCAGATCTCGCATAGTACACGGAATCTAGTGGTCTCACTCAAATAGAAAGTAGGAAATAAATTCATCTAGTGAACATAAGGGTTTGAAAGGTAACTTACGCACATGTGTAGAGAAAATGGTGCATCAGCCAGTCTGGCCGGCATTTCGCACTCATAGTGCAGGTGGGGCCAGGGAGAACGGAAACGCTCGTTTCTCAAAAAGTAGAGGGAATCTAACGGTCTCACTCGTTCAGAAGGTAGGAAATATATAAATCTAGTCAGCTAAAAAGGTTTAAAATGTATTCAACGCACATGTATAGAGAAAATGGTACATTCGCCAGGTCGGTCAGTATCGGAACTTAAAATGCAAATGCCAGGGAGAACGGAAGCGCTCAGATCTCGCATAGTACACGGAATCAAAGGGTCTCACTCAAATAGAAAGTAGGAAATAAATTCATCTAGTGAACGTAAGGGTTTGAAAGGTAACTAACGCACATGTGTAGAGAAAATTGTGCATCGGCGAGTCTGGCCGGCATTTTGCACTTATTGTGCAACTAGGGCCAAGGAGAACGGAAACGCTCATTTCTCAAAAAGTAGAGGGAATCTAGCGGTCTCACTCGATCAGAAGGTGGGAAATATATAACTCTAGTGAGTTAATAAGGTTTGAAAGGAATCTAATGCAGATGTATATGGAAAATGGTGCATTGGCCAGGTCGGTCAGTATCGGAACTTAGAGTGCAAATGCCAGGGAGAACGGAAGCGCTCAGATCTCGCATAGTACACGGAATCTAGTGGTCTCACTCAAATAGAAGGTAGGAAATAAACGCATCTAGTGAACGTAAGGGTTTGAAAGGTAACTAACGCACATGTGTAGAGAAAATGGTGCATCGGACAGTCTCGCCGCCATTTTGCACTTATAGTGCAAGTAGGGCCAAGGAGAACGGAAACGCTAATTTCTCAAAAAGTAGAGGGAATCTAGCGGTCTCACTCGATCAAAAGGTGGGAAATATATAAATCTAGTCAGCTAATAAGGTTTGAAAGGAATCTAATGCATATGTATATGGAAAATGGTGCATTGGCCAGGTCGGTTAGTATGGGAACTTAGAATGCAAATGCTAGGGAGAACGGAAGCGCTCAGATCTCGCATAGTACATGGAATCTAGTGGTCTCACTCAAAACGAAGGTAAGAAATAAATTCATCTAGTGAACGTAAGGGTTTGAAAGGTAACTAACGCACATGTGTAGAGAAAATGG